AAAGAAAGAAAGAAAATGAAGTCCTTAGAAGTTATTAAAGTTCTGTTTGGATATAAATGTTTTTTTAGGTGCCTTTCTTCATTACATAAGCAACACAGTACAACCTTCATGACATTTTAAATTCTCTGAAATTGTCTTTTTAAAGCACTCTAAAATAGAAGCTATCAGAATTGAGATCCAACTTGCCTTTTTTATTTTACTACATAAAACAATGCCTAGAATTCTACAGGTATTCATTAGGTAAAATCTTTTAATACCCATGAATTAGTATAATTAATATAATTAAAATATCTACATGAAAAACAAAAGTCCTAAAATATTTAACATTATACTAAATATATTTAATGATAGTTTTTCTTGTTATGTATTAATTTATTTTTTTATGCATGGACAGGTAAAGAAAAAGGCACTTACTAAAAATCTCTAAAATATTTATAATGGTTATTTGTATAAATATACAACTTATATAGAGCAATTTTAGTCTATTGGAGACACAATTGAGAGTCTGTTCCATAAAATTTGGTCACAGTAGTAGTATATAAGCATTTTATTATTAAACATTTTTATTTATTAAACATTTTCATTTTTATTAAGTAGTTGTATAAAGGGGTTACAATTCAACGTGTCAGTTTATGAGTACAATGCATTATGGTCAATGTCTTGCAAATAAAATAAATGTTTTTTTTTTAATTCTGAAAAATATTCTTGACTGGGTAACATTAACTCAGTTCAGCAGTTTACTCAGAATTTGTTTCAAGTACTTTACTTTTGTAAAATTTTGTAAATTTTCCTGTCAGAATTGTCACTGAGATAATTACCCCTGCATGCAAATCTCTGTCATCTCAACTAGGATAGAAAAGATTAGATGGACTATTACATGGGGACAAATATTTACAATCTGGTTCCGTATGAATTTGTGTCCATTTATGTTGTCCAAATGGCTGTGAGGGTGTCCTTTTCACTGTACCCTTGTAGGCATCATCTTCACCATATTCTCCTGAACCACAGAGATGGAAGGTGAAGAGGGTGACAGAGCTGAGGTCACTAGGACCTCAGGTTAGGACCTCTGTTCTGTGAGCAGAGCCAGGCTACTACATAGAAGGAATCGGGGAGGTAGATACCAAGAGACAGGTAGAGAAGAAGGTATAATGAGCTCTTAAACCTTTCACCTTACCTCCGTTCCCCAGTCAAGAAATGCTGAGTTTCCATATGGGTTCCCCTTCTTAAGCTATTTACCAAAATGTTGTTACCTATCTAAAAACAATGTCACCAATAAAGGAGCTCTACTGAGTCACCACGAGGTCACTTTTCATTTGAAGGAGGCTTTCTTTAATAGAGTAATTGAGTTGTGATTCATTTGTTCACTTAACAAGTATTTATTGGGGCCTCACTCTATACTTAGCCCAATGCTTGAATGACAGAAATACAATAGAAGCAGATCTCTCCTCTCTAGGACTTTATCATTTAATTGTGTAGAATAAGATATATACACATGAAAAATACAAGTAGGAATGTAAAGCAGTCCGTAATTAAGTGCCATAATGAAGGCTAACTCCAGTTGATTAGTGGTTTGGAGTAATGAAGATTTTCTCATAAAAATGGGTAAGGATGAGGATGATTAGAAATGAGATTTGCTGGAGATAGCATTTGCTTTGAAAATCTTCACCTCAGGGGGAATTGAGCTCTCTTCTGGCTCAGTCTCACTTTTTTAGCACACCAGGCTCCAGGTTTCTGCTGGCTGACTTTACTGATGCATATCTCTGGGCCATACCTGGGCTTTCCCTCTGAAATGCTGAGTAGTGTAATTACTCCTGGAGTGAAAGGGGCTCTGGATAGGTTAACTCTTTGTTGTATTTAAACCAAGATGTGGCTAAAGTAAACTTCAGTATTCAGTAATGCTATACTCTGAGTTGTACTATTTCTGTGTTAAGTTTTTAAAATATCTTTTATGTGGTATTTCAGATTCATGGAAACAACTACTCTCATAAAGTGGACATCTTTTCTTTAGGCCTGATTCTGTTTGAATTGCTGTACCCATTTAGCACTCAGATGGAGAGAGTCAGGGTAAGTATCCTCCTCTTCAGACAAATCAAAGAAGAAAACTATCTACAAGTTATGAAAGAACTTTAAAATATAAACAAGAAGGCTGGGGATGTAGCTCAAGTGGAAGAGCACTTGCCTAGCAGACTGCAGGCCTTGGGTTCCATCCCTAGTACTGCAAAATAGATAAAACATGATGTACATAGAAAAATCAAAAAAGAAAAAGATTATTCATAATGCCAGCAGACTGACTAGAAGCAAAGAGACCATGTGAATAAGACTCATAGACAGCTTTTACTTAAAATTCAGTTTTCAAAACACATGTTTCATTGGATCAATTCGTTTGTCGTCATACCTTGTTTAGGATTAAATTCATAATAATTTAATAATATCTTGCACTCAATGCCTTTACAGTAAGTGAAAACCAGGAAAACAACATGGTAGTGAAAGTAGGGGGGTGAACTAGTGATAGCACTTGGCCATAAAATCCTTCCAGAGTCCTGACATGGGTGGCTCATGCCTATAATCCTAGCTACTCAGGAGTCTGAGATCTGAGGAACACGGTTCAAAGCCAGCCCAGGTAGGCTTATCTCCAATTAATCCCCAGAAAACCAGAAGTGGCACTGTGGCACAAAGTGGTAAGAGTGCTAACCTTGAACATAAAGATAGCCAAAAAAAAAAAAAACCTTGAGGACCAGTTACCACCCACTCTTATACTTAAAAGCTGGTAAGTTACACACAGAGCTGTTGTTTTGTTATTGTTTTTTTTCCTTCTCAGAGTAAAGTATGGCCATAGATTTTAAGACAGTACTGAAGGTCTTTTAAGAGTAAGTCTATCGGGCTGGGAATGTGGCTCAGTGGTAGAGAGCTTACCTAGCATGCATGAAGCCCTGGTTTGATTCCTTATTACCACATAAACAGAAAAAGCTGGGTGTGATGCTGTGGCTCTAGTGATAGAGTGCTAGCCTTGAGCAAAAGAAGCTCGGGGACAGTGCCCAGGCCCTGAGTCCAAGCCCCAGAACTGGCAAAAAAAAAAAAAAAGTAAGTCTATCAGTGCTGGTAGCTTAAGATGTGCTTGTCTCCAATTAACCACCAGAAAACCAGAAGTAAAGGTGTGGTTCAAGTGGTAGAGTGCCAGGCTTGAGTGAAAAAGCTAAGGAATACAGCACTCAGGTCCTGAGTTCAAGCCCTAGAACCAACACCAACAAAAATGTAAGCCTGTCATGTTCTTCAACATCCTTCCTAAGTTGTTTTACACGGCCGGTTGTTGTCCCTGGCACTTACCTTCCAATTTTCAAAGTTTATGCTCTTATCACCATTTCTTAATTTCTGCTGACTTCTGACCTTAGCAGAAGAGAAGGATTGGGTTTTGTTTGTTTATGCTGTTTATGGGAGTTGGGCCTGGGCACTGTCCCTGAATTTTTTTGTTCAAGGATAACACTCTAGCACTTGAGCCACAGCTCCACTGCCAGCTTTTTTCTGGTTAATTGAAATTAAGAATCTCATGGGCGGGGCTGGGGAGTTGGCTCAGTGGTAGAGCGCTTGCCCTGCATGCATGAGGCCCTTGGTTCGATTCCTCAGCACCACATAAGCAGAAAAAACCGGAAGTGGGACTGAGGCTCAAGTGGTAGAGCACTAGTCTACAGCTGAAAAGCTGAGGGACAGTGCCCAGGCCCAGAATTCAGGCCCCACGACCAACAAAAAAAAAGAATCTCATGGGCTCATCTGTCCAGGCTGGCTTCAAACCACAGTCCTCAGCCTCCTGAGGACCAAGAATTGCAAGTGTGAGCCATCAGTGCCCAGGTGAGAATGAAGTCCTAATACAGAACCAAAGGACTCATATATCTAATTAGAAAGAACTCAAGTGGTCTGTACAATAAGTGGAGAAAGAAAAGGTAAAGACTAAAGAACTAGATAACATCAGAATTTCTGGAGTTTTCCGTGCATTCTAGGCTAAGAGGTATATCTCCGTGGTAGAGAATGAGGCCCTCTGATTTAGTCTCCAGCACCACAAAAAAAAAAAAAAAAAATTCAAATAGAGCCCCAAGTCAAAGTAATGTAAAAATTAAATCTCACTTTTCTTTCTTTTTAGACCCTAACTGATGTAAGAAATCTTAAATTTCCACCACTATTTACTCAGAAATATCCTCACGAGGTATGTATGTTTTCATCCCATTCTCTTTCAAATAATATCAAGAACTTAAAGGGCCCTTAGCAGTTAACTCATCAGTTTTCTCATTTATAGAAGATAGGGAAGCTAAGGTCTAAAAATATAGGATCAGGCTCCCTAAAGAACAGCATTGGTTAGACCCTTCTCAGCCCAGGGCCCTGCGGAGGTCCAGCTGCAGGGGTTTCAGCCTGCTTAAAATTTTATTAAATGACTTTGCTTCAACAGTCCTGACCCTGGGCTTGAATAAGGCTGAGTCCCTCCAGTACCCCATAGAAGCAGTCAGGGTTAGGAGCAGACTGTTGATCTCTTTATTTTGGTGAACTTGCTAGAGCTCTTAAAAAAAAAAAAAAAAGACTTACGGGAAAAAAAGAGAGAAAGACACTAATTTCTGTTGATGATGGGTATCAAGGGTTATACCACACAGGAAGAATAAGATGGAAAAATTAAGCCGGTCTTGAAGGTAAAAAAATTATATGTAATAAACTTATAAAGTTGTCTTTTTTTTTACAGCTTTCATAGTACATATGCCCACTAACATATCATTTTAAAATTTATACATTGGTCAATCTTGAATTTCCTTAAATAAATTGAATTATAAAGTGAATTAGTCAGTATATGAACAAATTGGGAAAAGTCAAAATGTCTTTCAGTATTGTAAGTATAAGGAAAGCTTGCACTGAAACCAAATACTTTATAATATAATTAGATATGCTAATCTACAAAGTATGTTTTAATAAAGAAATATTCTGTCTTTCAAAATGGAGGAAGCTATTCTCAGCATGGCTCATAAGAATACATGGTAACATTCCAAACTATTCTAGAAAATCAAGAGGAAGTGCCGGGTGCTGCTCTGTGGCATGGTTACTTTTTAACTTAAAAATCTTATCAAATAATTGTAGACACATTCAGTAATAGATGATTGTTTTTATTTGATTTATTTATTTTTGTTGGTTGTAGGGCTTGAACTCAGGGCCCGGGCACTGTCCCTAAGCAATTTTGCCCAAGGATAATGCTCTACCACTTTGAGCCACAGTGCCACTTCCAGTTTTTGAGTGGATAATTGGAGATAAAGAGTTTCATAGAGACTTTTCTGCCCAGGTTTGCCTTCTGAGTAGCTAGAATTACAGGTGAGAGCCACTGGCACCCAACTGAATTTATTTTTAAAATCAAATGACCGCTTTGCTTCAAAGATAGGATTTTTAACTTTTATATGCTAGGAATACACCAATTGCCCCAAATTGTCCATGTTCATTTGGAGCAGAGGTTGGCATCTTAGGACCAGTAGATCAGATCTAGCGTGCCACCCATTTGTATAATAAAGTTTTACTGGAACACAGCCATTCTCTTGAACTTACATTTTATCTATGTCTGAGTTGGGCTTTCATGACAAAGTTGATCTGTCAAATCAGAAACTATATAGTTTGCAACTTTATATACAGACATTTTTGCTGGGTTTGAAGGTGTTAAAGGTGTTAAGAGCCTTCAGTGCTTACTAATCTGGCCCTTTCATCACAAAACAAATCTTCTATTTCAGTATTTGATGGTTCAAGACATGCTCTCCCCATCCCCCACGGAACGGCCTGAAGCCACAGACATCATTGAAAACGCTGTATTTGCAGACTTGGAGATTCCAGGAAAAACAGTGCTCAGACAGCGCTCCCGCTCCATGAGTTCATCGGGAACAAAACATTCCAGACAGTCCAGCACCTCTCACAGCCCTTTGCCCAGCAATTAGCTTTCACTTGTGCAAGCAACCCAAGCAGGTGACAGGACAGCCACTTCTGAGGAGGGTGGCATTCCAGATTGTTTTTTGCACAATTTTTCTTTCTTTTTTTTTTTTTTTTGTGCCAGTACAGGGGCTTGGACTCAGGGCCTCATGCGCTCACTTAGCTTTTTTGCTCAAGGCTAACTCTCTACTATTGGACTCATACCGCTGTTAGCTTTTTGCCAGTTAAATTGGAGATAAAAGTCTCGTGGATTTCTCTCCCTGGGCTGGCTTCGAACCACAATCCTCAGATCTCAGGCTCTTAAGTACCTAAGATTACAGCATGAGCCACTGAGACTCAGCTACTTTGCTCAGTTTTATTTGGACTGCTTTTTCTAAGTCAAATCAAACTGGATTTTAGGGCCTACCCTAATTTGAGCCAACTCTTGATGTTGCTGTACTTAAAGGAAAGGACTGTCTAAACAGTACACGGTCCTTATTCTTTGTTTATCTCCTAAGGCTAGCTGGCCAAACTATAAGAGCCTTCCCTCACCTTTTACCTAGGAAGTAGAAGCAATCCTTAAAATACAAAGAAATTTAAACTGGAAATATTTTTATAGTACAGGAGAATGCAAGTCCTCCATATAGTAACTATATTGTTCTAGAAACATGCTTTCAAGACATGATTTTTGAAACCGATTTCTAAGAAGCTGACTCCGTTTTTGTCCCTGGAGAGACAATGAATCTGCACTATTTTGGAGGACAAGTAGCACAAATTGTATGACAGTTTATGTCTGTAGTTTTATAGTCCTATTTTGTAGCATTCAATAGCTTTATTCCTTAGATGGTTCTAGGGAGAGTTGAAGAGCTTTTTGTACTTTTACCACCACTAAAGGGAAAATGAAGCTTTTTATGGAAATCAGTCAAAATTCTGGTTTGAGGAGGAAAGAAACTAGTAAAAAAAAAATGGATCATCTATTACAACTAACTTTCAACTATGGACTTTTGACATAATAAAATCTTAAAAGTTTTCTACATAATACTGTAGGTTGGTTCATCCCAAACTGATTATAGATTAATCATTTCACTTCTAACATGGTTTTATTTTTCCCTGTAAATATGTTTATTTTTTATTTATAAAAAAATTCTGAAATCAATCCATTTGGGTTGGTGATGTACAGAACGCACGTTAAGTGTGTTAACTATGATGACTTCTTTCAAGTCTAAATGATTTAATAAAAGTTTTTTAAATTACTTATGATTGGCTTTTATTTTGGAGTCCTAAAATGGAGATTTCCAGTTGCTATTCTCTTCCTCTTTAAGCTTCTCAGAACATTCCACTCAGCCTTCTGAAGGTTCACAACCCCCTACCACAGCCCTGGGAGCTAGTGTGACAGCCATTATTATTATTGTCATTCTACTTAGGACCAAACTCAGGTCCAGAAAGGTGCTGTGATTTTCTCAAGATGACAAAGCCAGCAAGAGCAGAACTGGGACAAAACCCAAGTAAATCTGATTCACGGTCAGTGTTTTGTATACTCTCTTGTACCACGAGATCTAGTTTTGCAAATCCTTACATGTTATAATTAGGACTTGTGTTGTTTTTAATCTTAGATACAGTTTGCTTGCCATCTTCAGGAAGTCAGCCTGAGGATGGGAGACAAGGGGTTGGACCAACAACACTTGACAAGTCCACAGCTGCCTTCTCACATGTCTACTGACTCCAAACCTAACCCCCTCTATACTGCTAAACTGGCATCTTTCCAACACCCCATGTACACACTGGCCTCTGCTTTTAGCACTTGGTACTAATTACATTTATCATTGTCAAGCTACAGATCAGCTAGTAGTTCTGGTACATGTTGGCCTCCCTCAGTCATCGTTATGGTTCACACGACAAAGCTACTTGTGATCCAGCACAGTCTAATGTAAAGCATGGTCCTTGGCTACGTATTTGCATATTGGGACTATAGGTACAACCCCAGGGCATCTGCAGCCCTCAGAAGTGAATAGCCAAATAGGAAAAAGAAGAAGACTTGTACTTATCATTGCAAATCCTGGGGAGTTTGGGTAGAATAAGGTGGCTGAGTAGAAGCCATCTTGGGGAGCCTGCTCTTAAAGATCAGGGATGTGTCCAATCATAGGGGTTCACATGGGTGGCAGGACTTAGAGTCCCTAGGTGGTGCCTGCCACCTATCAGGGCCCTGGGTCACCTGTCACAGAGAAGGAAGAATGATATCTCTACTACTCCCCCACCCACATAGACACTTTAGGATGACCTAAAGCAATGCCGTCATCCCATCTGTCCCCCATCTCCAGGCCACACGTGGTCTAAGAAGGTCTGAAGAGAATTCTCTAGTTTAGCCAGCCTCATTCTGTTCTTACTGTCCTACTGTGACCCACTCTTGCTGATTCTCTTGTGGGGAAGAGGAACTCCTGGCCATTGTCTAGTCTCAGAAATGTATAGAGAGGAGCTTCTGAGGTCTCTGTCCTGGTCAGGCCCATTCACAGTAGCAGCAGATAAGGACAACAGCCACTGCTGTCACCACCCCTACCTGGGCCCCAAGACTGGTTGGTGTGCATGCCACTGAGAGGGAGCTGTGTTCCCTGTAAAGCACCTGGACCTTGTCAGCATCTACTCAGAAAACAGATGTTTTACCTCACTAGGCACTGGGGCAGCTAAGACCAGAAACCTGTCTTTCAAGTAACAAAACAAATAGCAGCAGTGCCTGAGGAAATTCCCATTACCTACTAGGGGACACCACTGATGTGGGAATAACCACACAGTGTACCCCACACAGTCTGATGTCTAGCCCTCATTTTCCTGTGACACAGAGATGGCCAGTTTCTCTAACTGATTCAGTATTTGCTATGACCAAAGTTGCACATCACAAAGAGCCGACAGGGAGATTATATGCTACTTGTCTGGAACAAACTCAGCATCAAATAACAAGTCAGTAAAATAGCTTAGAAAGAGGGCCCTTCAATAAAAGGAGGAAGGAAGGTATTAAAGTGACACATACTTGTAACACTTCTGGCTTTTTTCTTTTTGCTTATGTGGTGCTGAGGAATCGAACCCAGGGCCTCATGCTTGCAAGGCAAGTGCTCTACCACTGAGCCACTTGGGAAGACTTCTTAATGATTAAATATCATTTGCATAGTTGAATGTGAAGAAATAAAGACCACAGGCATAGAAAAACCTATTCAATGAGATAACAGAAATCTTTCCTCATCTTGGGACATACAGAATAGACTAATAAAAACCAGAATAGACCGATAACAAAGTAATGAGATTGAACTAGTAACAAAATCTCACATAAAAAGTCCTGATTTCCCTTACTGAATTTTCCCATACTTTTTGGGGGGAGGGTGGGTTCTAAACTCAAGGCCTGGGTACTGTCCTTGAGCTTTTTTGCTCAAGGATAACACACTACTATTTGAGCCACAGTTCCACTTCAGGCTTTCTGGGGGTTAATTGGAGATAAAAGTCTCATATACTTTCCTGCCCCAGCTGGCTTCAAACCGGATCCTCAGATTTCAGCTTTCTGAGTAACTATTTCCAGTGTACTACTCAGCACCCAGTGAATTTCACCATATTTTTTTGGGGGGAGGGGTCCGGTGATGGGGCCTGAATTCTGGGCCTGGGCGCTGTCCCTCAGCTCTTCAGCTCAAGGCTAGCGCTCTACCACTTGAGCCACAGCACCACTTCCAGCTTTTTTTTCTTTTTGCTTATGTGGTGCTGTGGAATCGAACCCAGGGCCTC